CTACAAGGAATATTTATGAAATTCTTAATAAGCTATTCAACGGGTACAGCATGTTATTTCAATGTCATAAAGTACATTCAGAAGTGGAAAATATTAATTAAGTGGCATGAAGCATTATTATATTAAAAAAAAATATATATTTTCGTAAAAGGAAACATACACCGTTTTTTTCAATTGTTTTCCAGTGAAAGATGTCAAWTGCTTTAAAGCAGTGTTGTATTTTTTTTTTATCGATAAAACCAATAATTGTAAAACAAAACAATCTTCATACATGAAAACTAATTTCTTAAAGCACAATTATATGTTTTTAAGTCATGGCGCTATTTAATTTATAAACATAATTTATAAAACGGAATTTATTAGTTTTAACAGTAGTAACTCTTTTATGTGCTTCACAGTGTTCGTTCCATCGACTAACCATTGTCAAATTTTTGTTCGTAAAGTGAGTGCGAACAACACTCGTTGTTAACAATTAGCGAGTAGCTGTTGAGAATTTAAAAATTGTCAAATAGTGAGAATTTGAGTGCGGTTTTTGTTATTTAACAATTTCACATTTATTTCAGTTAAATAAAATTTCTAGAGCATAAAACTTCTGAGTACAATTTACAATAATTAGCTAGTATGTTAAATGAAGAATTGTTTACAGAACCATGCCTGGAACGTCATTTTTCAGGGCATTGCTCCAGTATAACTCAGGTCCGGTTTAGTCCTTGTGGCCAACGTTTGAGCACTAGCTCTTTAGACCTCTCGGTAATTTTGTGGGATTTAAAGCAAGCTGCTCGCTGCATACGCTTCAGCGCCCATTCCGGTGCTGTTTATAGTGTGTGTTGGTCTCCTAAATCTAATTTAGTTGCATCGGCAAGCAAGGATCGTACAGTGAAAATTTGGGAGCCAAAGATACGTGGAGTTTCTGGTGAATTTTTAGCACATAGCAAAGCGGTTCGAAGTGTAGATTTTGATCCTAGTGGAACTATGGTAGGGACTTACCGAAATAAAAATTAATTTTTATTTTACTAATAAATTTCTATAGCTCATCACTGCTTCGGATGATAAAACGCTGAAGTTATGGAAAGTAGCTCAACGAAAATTCTTAACTTCATTCACCGGACATAGTAATTGGGTGCGTGCTGCTAAGTTCAGCCCTAATGGTCAATTAATAGCATCTTGCGGCGATGATAAATCGCTAAGAATATTCGACGTCACGTCAGGGGAATGTGTGCGGACTTTCACCGAAGAACGTGGCATGGGTCGACAAATAGCCTGGCATCCAGACGGGAATTTAGTAGCTGTTGCGTTAAGCTGCAATCGTGTCAAAATATTTGACATTGCAGAGGGTGAATTAATTCAATTATATCAAGTACATTCAGCGCCAGTTAATGATTTGGCATTCCATCCTAATGGCAACTTTTTGCTAACTGGAGGTGATGACGACACTATACGACTATTAGATTTACTTGAAGGTCGACCCATTTATACACTAACAGGTCACACTGATAAAGTTTGTGCTGTCGCATTTTCACCGGACGGACAACATTTCGCTTCGGCGGGAGAAGATCGGCAGGTGAGAATTTAAGTGTTTGCTTTATTTTTGAATAATTAATATGAAACTTTTTTTTTATAGTTACTCGTTTGGAAATCAAATTTACATACATTTGATGCCAATAGTTTCCGAAGCAAGCAAGCTTCCTTCCAGAAAGAAAACAGCGTTAGCAGTCTTGCTGCCGCACCGCATAACTCGGTTGTAGATACAGAATCAAAAATTTGTGATGACAGCATATTAATTGATCCACGTCATTCTGTAGCATATAAGATGCGTGATGAAAATTTCCAGGTTCTTGATAGTCAGTACACCACCGCCAAACAACAATCAGTAAGCAGCTTTACTAAATCACTCCCACAACAACACGAGACCATAGACAAGTTAAAAACAGACGCAAATACTGATAGCATCAGTTACAACAGCAGCAGCAGCACCTCACTACTACACATGCCAAACAATACAACAAATAGTTGCAACAACGATGGCAACGAAGGGCACGGCGCACCTAGCAAATACTTTTAATTTCGAGTTATTTATTGTTCGTATTTTTTTAAGTTTGAAATTCAGCTGCTGCTATTTTTCACCTATGACAAAAAAAACCACTTTCATACGCACCATGGAATAATTGATTCATTATAATTTTTCAGTAAATACGTTTTATTATTATAATTTATTTTACTTAATTGTCACTCGGGGTTTGCTCCACATTATACTTAGCACGTACAATATTTAACCCATTTTTCAATAAAATATCTTTAATAAAATAATCGAGTTGTGTTTATAATCATAGATGTTTAACGCAGCGATCTGCACATGTGCTTCGACGCAAACTTCAAATGAAGATTATTTGCAGCTAGAATTGAACGCACTTCAAACGCAGTTGACAGAAATAGTGATAACATTACGAAAGCTGGAACAACGTATTATATGTATAGAAAATGTCGTTTTAGAAAATATATAATGCAGCGTACACAAATATGCGATCATTTTCGAAAGCCTAATATTCATTCTTTGTCATATATTAAAGATAATAAGCAATTATACTGGAGTATTTTATTGTTTGGCATATGGGTTTAAGTTGCTATCTACCATAATTGAGTAAATTGTACTTTAAGTTTTAATTATTTAATTGTAAATGTTTTCTGAAACGAACTACAATATTAATACGCATGCATTAGATATCTATTCGATTCATTTTTTAATTGCATTATTTTGTTTAAAATTTACAATTTATATTGAATAAAACCTTTTTATGGAAGTAGGATTTGTAAATATCAGTGTTCGAATATCGTTTCTTTTTTTTTGTGATTTCTTTGTCTTCAACACGACAGTAAATTGCTATTTTTTAATTTTTTGTTGGATTTTCTGTAAATATATTTAAGAAATGTGTATTCACTCTAGTATAGCTAGTAATTAATTAAACACGAGCTTTGACAACAAGACAAGATTTTTAAATTCTTCGTAATTTATAACAATGGATTTCATTTTATATTGAGTGTATATATTACTGCTTATATTTTTAATTTTATATTTAAAAATATTTATCTACACTTCCTGAAATTTAATTTCAATGTTCGTTTTAAACGATTTAAAAAGGTCAAAATGTAATTGGCCGTTTACAGTTTAGCTTGCTCTCGATTCCATGCACAATCCTTCTCAATTCTTTGTTGTATATCCGCATCTAAACTTCCATTTTCAATTTGGCAATTTTACGAAACTTACAAAAAAGTTCATTTCATTCCTTTACCCCAACGTATTGGGTCGCTTTGCCAGTCTTCTTAATCGTCTCCAGCAACTCATCGGCTGTCAAATTCGATGTCACCAACACCGTTTTCGAATCGAGATCGATAGCGATCTTCTCAACTTTTTCCGCTGCGCAAAGAAAATATAACTTATATTAACTACATTTTATCAGAATATTGTTGCTGCAAATAGCTTAAATTATATATGTACATATATTATTAGTCAATTACATATTGCCATTTTTTATAATTCCTGGACAAAGCATAACTCAGATAAGAAAACCATTTTGCTGTCATTCCTGATAATATAGAGCATGTGAGTTACATACAAATATGTATATCTACTACACACTTATGCATTTTATTTATTTATATGCTTATAATAGAATTATGCGATTTATATGGTCAATTTGTAATCCCAATTAATTAATTTGTGCTGACACAAAGATAGTGTTAAATGTACTTATTTGCACATAATAGAAGTCTACCTACTTCGACGTAGAGCAATAGTGAAAAAATGCAGGTGATTCTAGAATGCAAAAGTATATACATATTTACGTATGTACTGCTTTGCTTTGCTACCAATTAGATAAGGCACTTGTTATCCTTATTTTCACCCCCGAAAAACACTTACCTCCCAGCTTGTTTAACACCCTTTCGACACTGTTTGCACATCCTGAACAGGTCATTTCCACTTTAAATTCGTGTACCTTAAAGAAATTTAATAGCTCTTTTATTGTACATTGTGAATTATTAAATCCTCACTTACTGGCATGTTGTTAATCCGTGCACTATGTGACGAAGACGATGTCGTTTGCAAATATAATTGCGGGAAATTCAACAGTTTGGATATTTTTCTACTGCTTTGCAGGCACAATACTATTGAATTAATTGATTATTTTCCAAAACTAAATTTTTCAAAATAACTAACTGTGAGCTGGCTTTTCTAATGGATCAATTTAATCAACAATTGCAAATGGACACAATAAATATAACGCACAGACCACAAAGACGACGAAAGCTGCAACGATGGCAAATATGGAAAATAATTTTGTTTGAGCTTAGTAGCAATTTCTAAGTTACAATCGACTATTTGAAATTGCCCATTGAGATGAGAAGCGAGATATTGATATAAATCTTAAAAATATGATAAGATTGCAAGTTTGTCTGTAAACTTTACAATAACGAAAGAACTAATTCTTGAGATCAATATAAACAAAAACCGTTTGATTATCTGCTACAATTGCACTAACATACCATAATTCTACATGATTCAAATTAATAAACTATCGACATTATTTTTTAAGTTGATGAAGAATGCCATCTCAAAATGTCCAGGTGTCTCTAACACAGATTGACTCTTCTGTTTAAAAATTTACTTATTTATTTTTAATTATGAAAAGCAATAACTAAAGAACATAAAATTATGAATTTGTAAGAAATATTCTAAAAAAAAAAAACAAAATACAATAGCTCGAGCTTAAGTAACATATTTATGTTCAACTAAATAAGAAGTAGCATTTGTTTCAATGCCGAGTATTATACACAGGCGTGGATCTACCGGTGTGTAAACAACTGCGGAGAGTACTCTGGATCCGCCTCTGATTACATATGTATATATAATAACGTAAGTTTTTTAATTATTACTTACTAATTACTGCATTCTCTGGTTAATAGTCTTAAAAACTAGTATTTAATTGAAAAACATTTTAATTATATTCATTACATTTTCTTGTATTAACTTTATTATATATGCACAATTTATTTATTTTTCTAAACCTTTCCACCCGTCACTAWGTCAATAAAAATAGATCAACACCAAGTATATATAAAATAATTTGTTAATATTCATTTTGAAATGATTTTATCCTTTCAGTCTAAAAATTGCAAACAATAGTTTCCTTATCTAGTATCTCCCAAAAACCTTTAAGAATTCACAATTCAGTATTTATTTATATTGAAAAGGCGCACACCATGGAATTGTGGTAGTTTGGGTAAGGTGACTAACACAAGTGAAATGAAATTTGCGATAAAATGGTCAGGATCATTCCTTGTATAGATACAAGTTAACAAAAATCTGGGAACGAAAAAGTAGGAAAGTTAATATTAATTGGTTATAATTTGCTTAACAGTGACTCACAATACAATTGGAACAGCTGTAAGAAATTTACGCGTTGCTGTAAATTGTTCGCCGTCATCAATTTGTTCCCAATGAGTTAAACGACGTGCACCGTCATTTTCAATGCTTAACCAGGGTGCTCCTTTAATCAAATGCAAAAAGTATAAATGTGCCTATATTGTGAAAAAATTTAAAGTTATTGAATCTGTAATTGATGTAATATATTATTATCACTAAATATATACCGCATTGTGCAGCAGGTTTGTTATAGTCCAAGCCATTGGAATGCTAATAAATGGAACCGACAATAGAATCAAGTGTACCGTCAGTACACCTAAGCCATAAGCCAACCACATGCCACGCGCACCCAACCATGTAGCATTGGGGTTTGGCTCACCATGACCACCAGCAATTGCCGTCATACTTGAAGCTTAAAAATTTTCAAAAATTATTTGCTTTTTGCGTATTGTATTTTAGTATTTGGAGAAGAAAAAACTAGTAAACTTACTGGGCAAATTTGTAATCAGATAACAGCTGATTTAAAGGGTTGCATAAAATCAACAAAAACAACTTATTTCTTTAAATTAAAAAGTACGCAAAGAGTAATTAGATAAAAAGTCAAAGTCAAATAAAATAAACTAATGAATAATGAATAGTTGCACCATATAAAAGTATAAATCAGTTATTAAATGTAAACAGAAATTTAATTGAAAATAAAGTGAACATGGGATATAAAAAATTTGTTTCTTAACCCTCAATTATTACCTGTTAGCTAAAATAGACGGAATTTTAGAACGAAAAAAGCTGAGAGAACATGCCAACACATGTGTAAAAGCATTTGCTTCGATTCTGTTCTTTGTGTAACGCAAAGTGAAGCAAGTTCTTCGTGAATTGAAAAATTCGAGTTTGTTTGCGCATTTAAAAGTAATTTGTATAAAAAAAATTCTTGATTCGCAATGTTCAATGTTTGAAAAAATTACTGATAGTATTATTAATAAATTAAATCGTTTACAATTTATCTTTTTGTACTAATTTTTGAATTTCAACTCTGTTATTTAAATATGCCAGTATGAAATACGACCATGTAGTACAGCTGCTTTTCGCTCTTTTCTTCAATCATTTCCTTCGTTTACAAAATTTCTTCACTGACTCACAATTTTAATAACTGCATTACTGTAACAATAAATTGATCTGAGTGCATAAAATTAAAAAAAAAAAAAAAAACAATGGTGTTGGCTTTGGTCTAAATAGCATTAGGCACAATATTATTTAAGAAATATCTTTTCAACATTATTAATCCACTTGTTCAATAGCAAGTGGTACCTAATTGTAGGTGTGTAAAGTGCAAATAGATTAATACAAAACGGCGTCAGGTCGCGAAAAGTTTTTGAGTGAACACACGCCACTAATGGACGGACACGTCGGCGCAGGCAGCAGCACGCGTCTGAACGGTAGTAGTGGCGTGGAGCAAAGGAAGCGTCCAAATATAAATTATGGAGCTAATGATCAAATTGACGGGGTACGATAGCAAACATAATGTCAACACAACATGTATCTATTGTGTTTATATGTATATTTGCAGGCTATCTTAGATGTGCCCAATGTCGTCGTACGGCCGGCTAGACAACGAAACAGGCCCACCACATCGCAGGCAAATGCCGGAGCAGCAGGCAGCTCTAACAACGGACCTTATCAAGCCACTAATGATGAATTAGATGAAGAGGGATTGAAATATGGAGCACAACATGTGATTAAATTGTTCGTGCCGGTCTCTCTTTGTATGCTTGTTGTGGTTGCCACAATAAATGCCATAAGCTTCTACTCGGAAACTGATGTTTACCTGTAAATATAACAAAATTTGTTCACACTGTTTTTATTACTACATATGTATATATTTTGCAGTTTATATACACCGTTTCATGAAAAGTCTCCTGATCCTGGGGTTAAATTGTGGAATGCTTTGGCAAACTCTATGATCCTAATGGCTGTAGTTGTTGTAATGACAATATTGTTAATTGTTTTGTATAAGAAGCGCTGCTACAAAATTATACATGGCTGGTTAATTCTCTCATCTTTTATGCTACTCTTCATTTTCAGTTTTTTGTATATGGAGTAAGTTGTACCAATTTGTTGTAGCAACAGATATATTTACAGAAATGTATATTTTAGAGAGGTGCTACGCGCTTATAATATACCCATGGATTATCCCACAACAATATTAATATTGTGGAATTTTGGAATCGCTGGTATGATGGCAATACATTGGCAAGGTCCTTTACGCTTACAACAGGCTTATCTAATATTTGTTGCGGCCTTAATGGCATTGGTATTCATTAAATATTTGCCTGAGTGGACAGCTTGGGCGGTTTTGGCTGCCATATCTATTTGGGGTAAATTACAAATGTGAAAGCTAGAAGCCATTTGCAATAAAAAGAAACCTTCATTTCCAGATTTAATCGCTGTACTTTCGCCAAAAGGGCCTTTGCGTATACTCGTAGAAACTGCACAGGAACGCAATGAACAAATCTTTCCGGCTTTAATATATTCCTGTAAGATATCTAAAAAATATTAACATTAATTTGTAACAAATTTTCATCTACGCTTTTTATTCACATCTACATTAGCCACTGTTTTATATGCCGTCGTTGGTGCCACGACCACCGAAAGCAATGACAGGAGTGTTGGAGGCATTGAGAACGGCGTACAACATACTGAGGAGCATGCTTCTTCCTCCGCCGGCCCGGCACGTCGCACAGGTAATGCCAGTAATGTGGTGAATGACGACGCCGCCCAGGCCGCCGAAGGTATGCCACTAGTCACATTTAAAAGCCACGGAAATGGTATTTATTTATATCACTTTTTTCAAATTTTATTTATTGCGCTTTTTGGAAGTAAAACGTACATTTGGTGGTTTGTGGTATTTCATATTTCGATTTGGTTGCACGTACAAACGTACTTTTTTGTTTACTTCCATCGCTATTTGTAAAAGTGTTGTGCATGTGTTAGGTTATATTGTGGTTTAAACTATCACTCATTTCTTTGTAGATAATTGTAGCGCGATTCTACGAAATATATACACATAATTTTTAAAAAATTAAAATGTATTAATTTTATTATAGATGCCGGATTTACCCAAGAATGGACAGAAAGCCATGCTGAACGTGTGTCCAGTCGCCAAATTGAAGTACAAGCTAGCAATGGACAAAACGCTAATCGTTCGACGGAATATCGCACAACCACTACTACCAATAGACACACATCAACTTTCGAGGCACAGGAACGTAAGTTTTCGTAGATATTTTTGGCATATTAAAAAATACTTTATTTTAGGCGGCATCAAACTTGGACTTGGCGATTTCATTTTCTATTCTGTATTGGTTGGTAAGGCATCAAGCTATGGCGATTGGATCACTACCATTGCTTGTTTTGTAGCGATATTAATTGGACTTTGTTTAACGCTTTTGTTATTGGCTATTTGGCGCAAAGCTTTGCCAGCACTACCTATTTCCATTACATTTGGTTTGATATTTTGCTTTGCTACAAGTGCTGTAGTGAAACCATTCATGGACAGTTTATCCGCCAAACAAGTGTTCATATGAAGACAATTTGGGTAATATATAATGAATATATAATCCTCTATATATAATCTCTGGGTAATATATAATTATCATATAATCCTCTAATTCTACTGTATTATAGAATAGATAAAACGTAGATCGGAATTTAGTAGTTATAATATTTTTTTTTAAATAGACTCCACAAAGGATATGGTATATGTAACATTTTCTCAATCAACAAAAAAAAATATATATATATATTGGCAACAAATCAATGCAGAAATAATATTCTAATAAATTAATTTAACACAAGAAAATTTTAACTTGTTATTTTCATAAGACATTACAGTTTATTTTTATAACAAAACACCATATCAATTAACAAATGTTGATATCTTTACAAACAAATCGTGATAATTGTTTTAACTTGTTCCATCTTCTTTCATTTTGGTGTTTGAGGCCTCTTCGGGAAACCCTTTTGATTTTACTATAACTTTATCGCGAAGTCCTATTACCCAACCGGGTTCTAGACCATAAAATATTTGACGTGCATCTTTTTGGCTTATCAACATTTCATAGTCGGGGTCATCTTCAATGCGCGGAAGTTCATAACCATACTTTTGTGCTAATATTAAACGTTCCTTACTTATATCTTCAGGATTAGCGAGGTAACCACGATTTTTAGCAGAGGCATAGTATTCGACGGCATCTTGTGGTGGTAACAAACGTCTTGGGATAGGTTCACCCTTCTCGAACCACTTTTGTGGATTCACCATAGCCTTTAGAAATTATAATTAAATTAACAGCAAAAAAAATCGTGTATAATGAATTCACATACATACATATATGTATGTACATACCTGTAAGCTTCTGGGGTCATAATAAGCTGTACGTATGACGCCACCATTTTTTTCAATTGCTGCTATCACCGACTCCTTGGCATGTTGCACTTCGATACATATCTTTGCTTTGAAGTGATCAATGCCATCGTCGGTCAGTTGGAAACCATATTCCATGCTAGCAGGTTGTAGATTTAGGAGCCCTGTGTTACATAGAGTTGTAACGTCGATGGGTTGTTTGTGATCAATACGATTGGTATCCAATAAAACTTGGAGCTTCAGAAGCGATAAGGGGGGGTATTGACGACGTAAATGATGGCCTTTGTAATATGGTTCGTAGGGGAATCGCAAATAAAAGGGATTGTTGCCTGTTTCATAACCAATACGCATGTAATTTTGTCGCTGGCCGGACCCTTTATTACCAGCGCCATGTTTATCGCCACTGTGCTGAGCACGTCCACGCTTTGTCTATATAAATAAGTTAATGTTTTTAAAATGTTGATTTTATTTAATTAAATAAGTCTTATAGTACTTACGTTTTTCTTGGAGTTCGGATTTGGACGTATATTACCTATTTGTACACGAGGTAAAGTACGCAACATTTTCAGTGCTTTTTCAGCAGATTCGCGTAGATGTGCCATTTTAGTATTTAATATTAACTATAAGGCGTTTATTTATATATATTCTTATTTTAAAAGCTATTAATTTTTGTCGAATATTCCCATATATCCGTGAAAATTCACATTCTCAGCTGTCAATCCACAAATGTCAAAAGCAGCTGTGTGATACTGTTTGTTCGACTTGGCAGCACTATATGGTGATGAAAACGCTCCCTAATTCAATAAAATATTAAATTTGTTTCATTGCAGGTAATAGCTGATAGGTAACAGGAAGATAAAGAGCGCAAGTTGCTCCAACAAAGAGCAGACGAAGTAATAAACGGAAAACCAACGAGAATTTACAAATGTTATTTTTAATAATTATATTATATCAACACTGTAATTGAATAATACAATTTTTATTTTCACTATTCAAACCTTTCCAAAAATAAACAAAATCAAAGTAAAGTTGTTTACACATATGTGTTTTAACAGCTGGCATTAACATAAATTTTTTCTCTGCTTCTTACCCGTTCAACTTGTGTACTCTTCCGCTAGTTTTTGGGTTAAGTAAGGTGTTTCCATAAGAACGATGGCTTGGGTGGCACGAATTAAAGCTTTTTCGAGTAAGATGGCCACGGGGACTCTTTTGTCGCTAATTTTCTCTTTTGCTGTCGCTCTGAGCAATCACATAGATAACAGAATTAAAATTTCCGACATATCCTATATATTCATTTAATTCCGAGCGCTACTACAACTATGAAAAGAATTTTAAAATGAAAAGGAGTACGGAATTGTGTAGCGGTGGACTGTTACAAACAAGAACACAAATCGGCCGCCGAAACGAGTGGTACGGTTCTTTTGTCTTTCCTCGTCGTCTCCTCGCCCACAAAAAACGGTTTTAGCGACAAAATAGTCCGTGTGTAAACTGGCACTTAGTGATAATTAGCAGTTAAGAAACGAGCTGATTGTTGACATTCCAGACTAGGAAAAAGTTAACTGTTGTTTTATGTTTTTGAACAAAATACGAGAAATTTTAGTTTACATTCCATATAAATATATAAAATGGCTCCCAAAAAAACTGATTTTGATTTAACTGATAGAGGCTGGGTTGATTTATATGTTAAAAAATGTGAAAACATAATGAAAGAGTTTACCGACTATGTTTATGGTAAGGTTCACAGTATATTTTTGGAAAATTGCAATTGCTTTTAATTGTCTTCATAGCTTTACAAAATCACTGTTTGAAAGAACGCGGTAAGATTGAAGAACTTGATAAAAACTGTAAGAAGCTACAAAAAAAATTAGTTGACGAGAAACAAATGCAACAAGCAAAATATGAAAAGAGACCTACATTATATACACCTCTGGATCGGAGTCCTATAAATACTGATATATTGGGTATTACCACAATGACCACTCCTACCAAAGGTGAGGCAGATCGAACCACAATAAGCGACGGTTCTCCCGCATTTCTGAACATGGCTATGGATAGCGAACAATTAAATATGGAATCTTGCGTTTTAAGTCCCGCACAACATCTTCAGGAAATATTACCGGCATCCGAGCAGTTAGGCAGTCCGAATCGTTTTTCAATTGGAATTGACAGTGTTTTACAGCACAACACATCGCCGACGTGCAAACCAAGAAACAACAATGAAAATCAAAGTGCATTAGGTTTTTTAAAAGCGCGTGGTCGTGTTGGTAAAACTTTGTATAACGAACCTTATGAGCATAAACTACGAGAACAAAATCCAGCAGCGAATGGAAATGATAACAAACTGTTGAAATCAGAAGCTAATTTGCATTCAAAACAATCGGATTGGTTTGAAAAGGAGAAAAAAAGTGAGGAGCGAAAAGCGGGTTTAAAAAGAAGCGCTAGTAATATGGAAGAGGTATTGCGAAAACGTAGTCTGATGTCATTGAATAAGAGTGGCGAAAGAAAATTAAAACAATCACGGTTAACACAAATGGTTTCTATGAAAACAAATAAAGTACAAAATGTAAGTGATAGTACATTAATATATTTATATATTTATGTGTGCTTTTCCGAATGCTTATAAGCTCTTACTTTGTAATCACCAGGCCATTTCTCCAGAAGATGTGGGTGATGCACAAAAATTTGCATTTTCACCAACTTCATCTCTTGCTTCGACCAACACAACGCAAAAAAAGCTAGCTTTTCAAACATTTTCCAATGATACTGACGATATTTTCCAATTTAGCAGCGAAGATGACGATGAGCAACATGTTAAAAAATCAAACGATAACAGTGTAATAAAACAAAATGTAAAGAAAAGTAATGACACAACAGTTTTTCAACCATTACCGAAAGAAACAGATAAATCTGATAGTATTTTGGCTATAACTCCAACAGCACCACCGTTAATTTGTTTAGATGACTCGGATGATAACGAAGATGGAACAGAAACTAGGTCGAACTTTGGAAAGAAGATGAAGACTCAACAAGCAGGGGAAAGTCATTTAAAAAAGTCAATTGCCATTGTTAAAAAAGAAAGAACAGGTAGTGAAAATCTAGCCACCGAGTTGGCGGCGGCGATGTTAGCCGAATGGGAAGAGGAGCCCGAACATCACACTGTAAAATCAGAAACGAAACCAAAAGCTAAAGCAGTAGATATGAAACCACGTCTTTCGCAACTACCTGAAGCGAATTTTTCAATCAAAGAACGTTTCAATGTCGATTGCGATGAATGTCAAAAAGTAATTCAAGTTTATTTTGTCTTTTTACAAATATTTTGGAAGACATTTTATAAATAATTATATATTTGTTTGCTTGTATCATATTAGTATATCGACTTTATGGGAAGCAATATGAGTTTGTCGGAAATTGAGACGCACCTGCGTCGTTGTACCCGTCACCGCACTGCGAAAGATGACATACCAACTACGCCGCCAAATTACTGGAATCCTTTGATGCCATCGTTTTCCGAAAATGATCCACGTAACAAAACCCTGTTAGAAGATCCGTTTATACAACGAAAGCGCGGTAGCAATAAATCGTAGAAATTTAAGGCGCTTAGGTAGTTTTAATATTATTATTGTATTGTTAATGACTTAAAATATACGTTTTTTACTAAGTTTGTAATTAAATGTATGTATGTATATGCTTCTGTTTCTAGGGCATGATATGTATTTCAAATTCTATAAGTTGCCACGTTTTGCTTGTTCGATTTCGATAGCTGTGAAGAGTGACTTAAAGTTGCCGGCACCGAAACCCTTAAAAGAAATAATTAATAATTGCATAATTAATTTATGTAATATCAAGAATTAAGAATACTAGTCTTTTATAAGGTAATAATTTTTTATACCCGCAACTGAGTATATAGAGATAACCACGAAGTTTGTCTACAAGGAAACGTCGGAGACGGATATAAAACTTTTACATATATAAATGATCAACATAACGAGATGAGTCGATTWAGTCCTGTCCGTCTGTCTGTCTGCATATACGCAAACCAATCCCCCCAATGTTTAAGATATCGATCTGGAACTTTGTACATATTTTTCTTTCCTCAAGAAGCTGCTCATTAGTTGGAACCACCCTTACAGCATATAGCTGCCAGAACGGCCTACAATAGCATACAACTGGCATACAAACTGATTAATCAATATCTGGTTAAAACGATCTTTTTATACTTTAATGCAGTAGAAGTTAACATTTTTCTTTTTTTTATAATCAATGATTTTATATCCTTCAAGTATTTGCAACTTATCTCCCAGTAGCATACAAAAATTGCTAATGAAAACTTTTTGTTCCATTTTAATGCTAGGAAATTGTTTTAAATTTATTGTTGTAAACTTACATTGTGATTGTGTCGCTGAATGACTTCAATGAATAATGTGGGTCTATCTTGCAGATTTTTCGAAAATATTTGCAACAGATATCCATTCTCATCGTAATCTATTAAAATATTCAGTTCCTTAAGCAGCTGCATATCCTCCTTGATTTTGGTGCGACTGTTTTTTAAGTTTTCCTCCAAAATATCATAGTACGAACTAGGTATTGTGAGAAATTCTAAACCACGAGCGCGTAAGTTGCGCACTGCCGTTATAATATCGCTTGTATTGAGCGCAATATGTTGCACTCCAGCGCCACCATAATACTCCACGTACTCCTGAATCTGTGACTTCTTCTTACCCTTTGCCGGCTCATTGATGGGCATCTTTACATTCTCCTCATAATTGGCCACTACAATTGAACGTAAGGCTGAATAATCAGTGTGTATTTGCGAATCATCCACTGACCAGAAGCGATGAAATTGCAGAACACGTTCGTACCAAGCGGCCACACTCTCCATTTGTAAATCAGGTTGATTACCCACAACGTGATCGATGAAATCGAGTTTGGTGGATGGCAAACCTTGAAGAAGATTGTCGATGGGCGGTGCTATAAAGCCGGGTAAAAATTTACCGTTATATTTAGTGCGATCGACAAAGGTGTGTGTTGTGTCGCCGTACTATGGAAAGAAAAGTTAGATGATGTTTGAAATTAAAATAGTAAATTGTAATAAATTGGTAATACCAATAAACTAAAGAGCAAGTTTTCTGAACTTCTCGTTTTTTTATTAAAATTGAAAATTTGCACGCACTCACCGTTTTTATAGTAGCAAAGCGCACTACGCCGTACTCATCTTTTTCTTCCCAAATTTCGCGCACCACTTCAGCACCACGTTCCTTTGCATATTTGAAAATTGCTTCCAAATTTTCTACCTCAAAAGCCACATCCTTTACACCATCGCCGTGTTTCGTTAGATGCTGACCATACTCAGCATCATCGGCTTTGTAGGCAGATATAAAAACGAAGATGATGCGATTCTGTTTGACCGCATGTTGGGCGAAGCGACGATGTCCCGTCTCTAAGCCACGATAGCCTACATGCGTAAAACCGAAACGTGTTGTGTAGAAGCTGGCTGCCTGTTTGGCATTACCCACGTAAAAGGTTAAATGATGGAAACTAAGGAATTTACCGAATTGCGGCTGAAATTTGAGTATAGAGTTTATTGAATTTAGTTTATAATGTTTCAGAGTATAAGTCGGTGGTTTTTAATTACCTTGGGTCCTTTGTCAGTATATGATGTCTAGGAAAAAAAGAAAAAATAATTTAAGTTTATATATTTTATTAAAAATTTGGTTGTTAACTGTTTGCTTAAGTATTCTTGTTTGGATTTAGCATTAAATTCAATAAAAAAAATTGTTTGAAAGGATTCTTTTYACCCGGAATATTTAAACAAATATATATATATATATTTTTAATTTATTACAAACGAAATAATTATATATTATTTAAATAAAAGAAAAAAGAAAAAATTAAAATTCTTTTTGCTTTTTCTTTCAGCATAATTTTTTARAWAAAAATTTCAAGTTTGATTTATTGTTGCATATTTAATTGACGTTTAAACACGCTTTTTTGTTTGTTAATTTTAATTCGTTTTGTAATTCCATTGCAATTAACCGATTTAGTAGTTAGTTCCCTCTTAAAATCATAAGGGATATAGTAAATAATAAAAAAACAAAAAATTTCTAATGGAATGGTCTAAATTGTTTATATTATGGAAACAAGTCTTCTTCAGCACATTAGTGTATTCACCAATCGTTTTGCTTTACTATAAATATAAATTTTATAGTATAGAATAAATTTAATTCGAGGGTTTTTATTTGTTTCGAATTCAGGTTTTTAAATGTTAATTACACTGGTTCGCAGTTGCTTGTTTTGTATCCCTAGATATAAGATCGATATATAGTACATATCTCACATTTGATGACACAGTCAAAAGGTTTTTCTAAGGTTTGATTATGTTCATTTTCTCAATCTATTTTCAGTACGAAAATCAGAAAACAAAAAACAGAAATATTTTTAGTGTCAGTATTGTTAGGATATATTTCAGTATAAAAGGATATATTTAAGTAATTTAAATCAAACATCAAACAAAATAATGAAAATATTTGTGTCAGTGCTGTTTTGAAGAAAAAAAAATAATAATAATAAGGATACATCAAAGTAAGCAGAAACAAAAACAAGGCCAACAACATATGCCATTTTTTAAAAATAAATAAAACTCCTTTTGTAGGTATTTCTTTCATAATTCTCGAATTGACAATCTCTTTAATTACCAGCATGTGGTGTTTCTATCAACGTTGATAAGTTTCTTTCAAGACTTTTAAAACCTGGTGAATCCGCTCTCTCTATTCCTTACTACAATTTCCTCACCAAAACTTGGTAGATTATCCGAAAATTAATCCACATGATTGCGAAGTCTTATTAGATATTTTGCCCTAGTTGGCATATTCTTCAGAATTTTTTGATAATTTCGTGATAACCATCATAATCTTGATAAAATCTGTATCTTTCATTAATTTCAAAAATGCAATAATAATGAAATTGGGAGCACGTCCATGTTTTCAAGAATAAATTCGTAATCTGAACACTTGAAAACATCTAAATTTGCTAAGGTATCCAGAGTCACAAAAATATTTTTTTTTTTCATTTGCGTATTCTTAAATTATTAATTAAATCTCGCAAATTATTATGTTTAAGAAAAATTTAAATTTCTTCTAATTAGTTATTAATATAGGAGAAATATTGGTAATTTTTTCCTTAAAAATCACATAATAACTGTTCACATACCATTTTCACTTATTTTAAATATTTTAATTCCCACAAAATTCACAGTTTTGCACACCAAAAAAATATACAAAAGATTATAGTTAATATTCTCAGGCAATTCAAATTAGAACTCCATTTACTGAGCTCAACTCTTCAGCAACTACAGCAATCTTCGAAACGGTAGACGATTTATATAGCCGCAGCCAATGTTATGGGCGTAGTGTTATAATCCTGAAACTACCAACACATCTACATCTGCTAACTCGTGTTAGTGTATAATATTAGTTAGCTAATATAGAGCTGGAAAAATTTGCATTAATAATATATAGTTATTTTTGTAGGTATGAGATCCACGTGTAAATACATAAGCACTAGCATCTGATACAAATGTGTCTTTATGTGTTGGTGAGTTTGCGGCGCTCGAAATCTTAATTTAAATATTTCAAACGGGTATTTTGTTTATCTGGTCTTCACAACGGTTGCATGCCGATGTTTCACATTTTCAATCCAATATTGTTTTTGTTTTGAATAACACAGTATATAAAATATATCTGTATGATTTTTGCAGGGATCATAAATATTGTTGAGCGAGCGCAAAATAAAGTGTAAATACCACAAATTACTTGAATAAAATTGTAATATATATTATTTTCATAGTTAACCTTAAAACCTTTCAATTTTTTTTTTCAAATTTTCAAATTTACAACAAAACAACTAACAAGCGTAAAATTTAAATTGCTATGAATTGTAAAATTTAAGTTGGCAAACCAAATATTTAAATACAAATTTTTTGTGGTTAATTTATAGTCAAACACGCTTTGACCGTCTCGGCGTATTGCCGAGTCATTGCCTGATGGCCAAATTTTAAGGTTAGAAATAAAGTTGCGATTAAATTCCAAATATAAGATGAAATCTTAATCAAACATATGCTATTAATTTTATTCCTTATAAAGGATTCATTGCGCAATAAATATGCAATATTTATTTAATGCATCTCTTAGACTTCAACAACACACTACTACTAATATGCAATATTTATTTAATGCATCTCTTAGACTTCAACAACACACTACACCCTCCAGCGTTTAAGATTTCTGATATTATAATGATTTTGTTTTCAAATATTTCTCAACTCTTGCGTTGATGAGTTTTGATAAATTTATTAAATATTTTGTATTTTTTTACTCGTAAATTATCATTGTACCATCTTCCAACTCTTATATGTACAGTTGCTTGCTTAAGTATTTTAATACAGAAAATAATATAAATAAATTATTTAGGATACAATATCTAGTATGATATACCCTTTTTCTTTAGAAATATATTTTTTTCGTTTGCGAAATTCATGTTTGCGGTGCAGGTGGCTGATGAGAGTGGCGGTACCGGTGCGCGTGCAATGTCTGGGAAGGTGGATAACTTTGCTCCCACTCCTTCTACCAGAATAGTTTAAACCTTAGGAGTGTATAACAGAATTCGTTTCGGCACATCAGGAGGCAGTCACAGGGCAGTCACGTTTGCTAGTCCCCCTGTTATGATGCCTTGACGTAATCGAACTACTCATTTTGCTAACTAGAAAGATTCTTTTGAAACATTTTTGAGATTA